TTGCTGCGTGTCAATGAAACGTCCTCTTCTGTTTCAGGGTTAACGTCAGGTTTGGAAATGCTTCGTGTAAATCAGAGTGTGTGTGTGTGTGTGTGTGTGTGTGTGTGTGGGCAGTGCGCCTCAGTTTGTTGCTTTGCTTCAGGCAATGGATACTTATCAGAGAGAAGTGCTCCAGATTCTGTGTGTGTGTGTGTGTGTGTGTGTGTGTGTGTGTGTGTGTGTGTGTGTGTGTGTGTGTGTGTGTGTGTGTGTGTGTGTGTGTGATTGTGACGAACCCAGTGCTATAAAAAGACATCAAAACATCTGTTGGACAGTGACAAGGCGGGGGGGTGCATGAATATTCAGTTGCTGGTGGTGCTCCTGTCACCCCTCAGCCTACTTTTCATTTCAGAACAAAGCTGCAGGGCCCGGGGACATTTTCTAGCCACACCACCGGCTCCCAGCAGTGAATACTGGGACCAGACCCGCAAACACAACAGAGACTGAGATCGACAGTGAAATCTGCGAAAGGGATTGAAAATACAGAGCGTAATCTTCACTGAGAGGTCTGTGTTTAACCCACATTAGCCTCCACTGTCTTAATTAAAACGTCCCGCAATCCTTCGGGGGTTAGGGTGCACACAGTGACACCGGGCACGTACAGACACACACACACACACACACACACACACACACACACACACACACACATTGGAGAAAGACTTACAACACAGAATGCATATGAGAGTTCAGAGAGAAAAGCCATACAGCTCCCCCAACAGAGAAGAAGACACTATATGAACTAACAGGGTACAAGACAACAGGTGACCCAAACTGAATGTACTGTCCCCTCTACATCCTCAGTGGGTTGTGTACCACCATCAGCATCAGTCTAACACACCGACTCCACTGTGTCGTCCATCTGAAATCACAAACCTGTATTTTTCCTTTTTTTTTTTTTGTGGTTTTTCCTCTTTTTTAATACTTTTCTTCCTCTTTTGACTGAATGTAATTATTTGAATATTGCCACCTTGGATTTGATGATTGTTTGCTGCATCTGATATGATTTCAAGTTAATAAAAACATTGATAAAATGAATACAATTCTGTTATTGGTCTTTGCAAGAAAAAAAAAAAAGAAATCTGGTGCGATCATGTGGATTTTTATTTTAATTTGACGTGAGCGAGCTTTAATAGCAGATTGGAGCAGGACTTCACACGGTGTTTTATGGCTCACCTCATCGAACATCATTTACTGTTGGACATTCACTGTGGTGCACGCACCATAAAGACTGCTGCAATTAGCCCCCTGACATGACGACATCATCATTATTAAGTTATTACCGGGGCAGAGGACAGCAGTCTGGTGTCGAGCCGGTCTCAGTGATTCTACAGCAGCGAGTATTTCATTTTTTTCCCATGACATCATGCTTCCCTGGGGGGAGCTCGCTAATCCATTTGGCGGGCTGGGATGGAGAAGGGAGGGGGAGGTCAGAGCACGACCTGACAGATTTTAAAGCAACACTTGTGTGTATGGTTGTCTGGACACACACGGGGCCTTCTTTGCTGAAGTGTAAATAAGATGATCCAGGATGATGTTTCTATAAAACGTGAAAATAGAAGGAAAGGGGCCCTTTTTGAAACACCAATCAAATAAGGGAGTGAGTGAGGAGTGTGATCCACAGAGCCACCGTCCTTTGTTTAAGAAAGTAAGTTAAAATCCCGGAGGAGGGAGGTTAACTACAATTTACACCACAGGGAATGTACGTTTGGTATCCAAGGCAACGGTATAATACTGTATAAATAACACGTACATATCCAAGTAAAATCTGATTTCATATTCTGTCATACTGTGTGACTCTACCACATGACTCATCTCTTGCGTTAGTGCTAATTAGTGCACGTTATGATGTCATCTGCCCCCCTCAGTGGAAAAGGTGTGATTAAGCTCAAGGCATTCACTTTTTAGTTTTTCTTTTTTTGGGGAAAATTATACTGAAAATGTTGGGAGGCATATTTCTGAAATGTCCAACTCTCAGAGAGAAAGTTCAAACACTCTCATTTAGTCTTCTTTTGATTTGTTGTATTATCTTTGGATAATCTTCTGTCACTTCGACACAACATCACACTCGCTCTGAGACGAGAGAAAAGGAGACACTGAGTCAGACAACACCTCAGTGATAAGATATCGTAACATATCCAAACATTACTAAAAGGACAGAAAACCTCGCACACTTTCCTCTGAATGGTTGACACACAGCGTGTGAACTTAATGTGAGCAGCGGTGAAAGACCAACTCCTTCACATTTTATGTCAGGGATTTAAATTGGGACGAACTCAGCAGGATTTACACATACATTTTGGGAAACAGCTATATTTCCAAAATTTCCGGCAGTAACATCCTGACACAGCAAGAAAAACTCCTCGAAGTGAGTTACAGCAGTTTGTCTTCACCGAGGATGGGTCGCAGGATCACGGCTGATTTGACGATAAGGAATTGATGCTCAGGAAAATCTAAACCAAGCTTGTTTGAAGTTCTTCCACTGTCCTTGCCTCTCTGTGGCTTGTCTGCTCTGGCCTCATTAACATCATATCCCTCTCCTTTGAGCGAGGTCACCTATTGAAGATACACCCTCTGTTCGGGAGAGGGTCCGTGGACGAGGCTCCGGAGAATAGTTCGACTCCCAGTGGAGCTACTGCACCTCTGGCAGAGGAGCTGCATATATGAACTCCTGTACTGCTGACTGTGAAGAGTTGGAGACAGCTGAGTCTGTACAGTTTAAAAAATTCATACATTTTCTTTTTTACTGCTTATACTTCTTTCAGGGCCATGCTGTCCAGTACATACTATAACTGAATTCTTTTCAAATATGCTGCAGAAGCTTTATTAATGCAAAAATATTTGACACAAGGACACATACATGTGGGACTGTCATGTTGATGTATGCGGCTTGTGTTAAAGGTCAGTCTCGGCTACATTTACTTTAAAACAACGGCTCGTTTCTGTGATTTCGGCCTCGGAGCTGTTCCTTCAGAAAGCACTCTACTTCTCACATTTAAACTTTAAGTGTATCTGTCATCCCATTAGCAGGTAAGAACTTAAATGGCCTATTTTCTCTTGCATTATTGATAAAGTGTTCACATTGTGTGCAGGGTCAGGCTAACGGACGACCTGACCACTACACCACTCTGCTATTTATGAACAATCGCCAGAAGCATCTCCAAGAGGCCCCCTTCAGCCTTATCTCTGTGTGTGTGTGTGTGTGTGTGTGTGTGTGTGTGTGTCTGAATAAGAAGGGCTCTCTCCTCCTTATCACTTTGTCCGTTACATTCTTGGCTCCAGTGGTTGGAAACTGCCTTTTATGGCTGAAGGGAGAACACAATACAGAGCCCCCGCAGTGCTCTACTGACCCACAATGCACCTGGACATTATAAAAAACCCACCACAGAGACCCCTGGGCAGTAACTGTGAGGTGAAAATCTTTTGGTAACCCACTTCTCTGAATCCATTTTGCATTTATATTCGAAAAAGGGTCACAAGAGAACTGAGGTCTTGTTTGGTGAAGCTTGGTGCCTGTGTTCGCAAGTGTGACAGGACACTAGACATCCTCTGCCATGGCGTCTGTGACATCTTCCAGCCGCAGATCCTCCTCGTCCTACCGCTCCTCGTCACGTTACAGCAGCTCCAGCTCTTACCGGTCAGAGGGCTCGCTGGGCGGATCATCTGATTGTCTGGACCCGCTCTTTGAGCCGTTCCTTGACTCGCCGGATCATTCCAGTCTGTTTGGAGAAGAGGGCCCCGGGGGACCCAGCTGCTTGACCCCCTTCAGCAGGCAGAACAGATCCTCCTACGGACACACTGGTGAGAAAGACTTTACTGAACCTCTTCTCCAATATTTACTTTTTCAATGTGTTTTCAATGTTTTCATTCATCCAAATAAATTTCGGCCTATGTAGACTATAAAGCTCATTAGGTTATTTCTTGCAGCCATAATGTTGAATTAATAAAATGATTAAATTAGATATAACAACAACAGAACATTAACAACATGAACAACTCCATCAGCAGGAGTATTTTAATACATTTTACATTTAATTCAGGAGCTGTTGTGATATTTCCCTGATGCACATGAGGCGGAAACAATCAAACACTCCAAAACAAAAGTTAAAAGTTCAACATGTCAGATTTAAATCCCAGATGTGTGAAAACATTTATTATTTAAAAATTTCATAATTTAATAAGAAAAACATCTCGTAATGGAACTGAACTCTGTGGTCAACCTCAAATTAAATAAACGAAAATTACTGTCCCCGTCAAAATCCATTTCATCATACGACCGTTCAGACACTGTAGTTTTGGGTTTGAAAATTATTTTTATGAATCGGTTTGATTTGGCAATGAAGATATTTTTCTGTAATTATCAACTAAAAACCTCCAGAAGAAGTCGAGCCTCACGATTTACAGTATATTTACAGCTCAGAAGCAGTTGAGGCTTTAATGCCTTGCTCATCGGCACCTTGGCAGGCGGGAAAGGGGCATTAGTAGAATATCTCACTTTACAAAGTTTCACTGATTAACAGAAAAGTGCCACAGAGATAAAAAAAAAAAGGCCCGTGGCTCAAAGAGAGTGATGAGCCAGAGCCACGAGAGCGTCTGTGTGCTGTGAGAGAAAGAAACTGTGTGACTCCAGAAATCATCTCCTGAGCCACATAAAAATCTAATAGCTAGATGAAAAAGAGAAGAAAAGCTGGGTGCTGGTATAAAAGAATCGTCTGAAGTGTTAAAACAGTTCTCACACAGCACCACTGCAATAAAAAAAACGGGTTTATTACCGGTGTGACGCTACAGGCAGATTAAGGTACAATCAATAGTCAGGCTTGAAATGTGATTTCACTGAAACATTCTGATTATCTAGGTATGTCAGCACAGTATGAGATGACACGAGGAGTGAGTATGACTGTCTAAAGTTTTACAATTTAAAAAGAAAAATCTAATAAAATAAGACATTTCAAACTGGCAGTAAAACACATTTTCAGTCTCTTATGGCTTTTTTTTTTTTTTTTAACAACCTCTGTGTTATTGTCAGTCTGAACATAAAACAAAAAAACAACCCAAAGAACTGAGCAATAATTTGTTTCATTCAATGTAAACCAGCTTATTTTCCCAGCTACTGCACTTTGTAAATAGCTAGTTGATCATGTTGGGGATCTGGGGTCATGTAATCGGCAAATGTGAAATGAAATTGGCAGAAGTGAGATAATTAAGCTAAGTTTAACAGCTAAACGACTTGGGACACAAAGATTGATTGAATTTCTGGTACAAAGTATGAAAACGAGGGGACATTTCAAACAGGAGAAGGTTTTTGAGGACTCACAGTTCTGATTCATTTGTTTAAATCTATCACAGACAAAGTTGATTCTTTCAAAAAATGCAAAAAAGTAAAAAAAATTGAATTACAGCATTCTAAATGATTGAGATCATACTGAGAAAGAAAAAGATTCATCTACGTTCATCATAATTCATAAAAATAAAAATATATTATATTTATATTTTACCTAAGTCATGTTGTAATTCTTATTTCTTATACTTTTAATTTGAACATACTGAATAATGCTTCTTAACATTCCCATAATATTCCTATATTTTTACTGCTGTGTGTTTTGAGTTGCAAAGCTAAACGAGATATTTAAAATGAGTATGTTATTCCTCTGCAGCTCCTGTGTGTGGCGCTGTGACAGGTCGTCAGAGTGGCGCAGGCGGCGGGGTCCGTTGTCTTGGAGACAGTTACTACGTGTCCGCTGACGTCAGCCAGTTTGAGCCACATGACATCGTGCTGATGGCCTTCAAACATCAGGTCGTCATCCACGCAGAGAAGGTGTGAGCACAAATCAACAGAGGGTTTGTTTTGTTATAAAAAAAATATACCTCTTACTCAAACAGATGTAGAATCTGCTCAGGCCAGAGGGAGCGCTGTGTTGTTCCATTTAACTCTTTAAAAGAACAAGTTCAAAGTTCAGCTCATGAAGATGATCATGAGCTAGTTCACATTCATTTGTTTCGTTTTTTATTGGGTTGATTTAAATGACAAACTTTCGATCATGTATTTAGTTATGAATCGATGTTGGATCATGAATCCCAGCAGCTCCGCTCACTTTACAGCCGTAAAATGTCGACGAGTCATTTTTCATGATGTTTAAAAACAGCCTCATAAACTCTGGAGTGAATTAAAGTTACTTCACTGATCATGTCCTGACAACTCGCTCGCTCCTGGTTTCCTGTGATGGCCCATACGATGATGATTTAAAAAAACAAAAAACAAGTGTCATAAAAAAACGTTCATTATTTTGTTCAGTGTTTGAAATATTGATCAATTCTTCATAATGAAATAAGAAACAAACTGCAACACATCCTGTTCATGTTGGAGTCAGACATGTTGTGGGAGTGGAGCTGGAGAAAAGCTGCAGCTCGCTCGGTCTCTCCTCCCCCACAGTTTGACATTTACCATGTTTAAGAGGTGAGATAGTGGAGGAGCGAGGGGGGGGGGTATTTGTGCTGTGGTGAGGAGAGATCTTTTTAACAGGGGTCAGCAGACAATTTGGCAAAAATCCACAACCGCTCAGCTCGACTTAAAGGCCTGTAACAGTGAAAGAACCCCATCAGAGACAACTAGTCAGTGTTCATTTTCCTCTTCTCTCCTCCCCTTGCTTCATTTTTTTCTTTCTCTCCACCAGCTGAGCAGCGCTGACCTGTCGCCTCCCTCTCTTTCACTGCTTCTCACCCTCTTTTCTCACCCTCACGCCATTCTTGGCCCTATTGCTCTTCTCACTTTCTGCTTTCACCCTCCTCGCTCTTTGACCTTTTCGTTTCATTGTCGTTTCCTCCGCTCATTCAACCCTTTTCCAGCAGCTTTCCTAAATCCACTCGTCCTTCCATTGCTCCTCCTCCTCTAACTTTCCGTCTGTATCCCTCAGGTATTGGATGATGGAAGCATCAGCGACACATTCACCCATAAGTCCCTGTTCCCGGAGGATATGGACCCCCTGTCGGTCAGTGGAACCCTTAACCCAGACGGTACCCTGGTGGTGAGCGTCCGGCGGACGTCAGCGCTCAGTGGGCTGGAGCCCCCGGGTGTTCCCACCTACCGCAGCGAAGCTAATCTTTGACGTCTGGTCTCAAAGTTCTTTCATGGTTTCTTTGTAATATTACTACTTTATTATAGAGTTGTCAGTGAGGTACACTCACACATCGAGTCAACAATGGATTCTGTGAATGACAAATGATTTCTGTCCTCCACGTCTGTCCATCTGTTTGTCCAACACATTGATAACAATGCTCAACACATTGCCATGACATTTAATGTTCGTATGAATGTATTATAGATAGAGGAAGTACATTTATTTAAAGAAAATTAAATAAAATAAATCTGTGGGTTTAGTTAGTGGAGGGTTTTCGTGTAGAAATGTTTCCATCATACGATCCCATTTTTTGCTACTACCACTAGGGGGTGCCAAAGTCAGAAATGTACAATTCCTCCACACAGTGCCTTTAATTTTTTAATGTGCAAGCTAATCACAGACTACTGGAACACTCTGAAAGTGAGAAACTCAGTTCAGCTCACAGGTTCATACTCTATCATTATATTTGACTAATGCAATTCATTGTGTTCGTGTGAACTTTGTATTCTAAAGCCAAGTTTCTTAAATAAATTATACCGACTATAAATACATGTTTTACTGAACAAAAGGTTAAAAAGCCTTTGTTAATTTGAATAGTTCATGTTCTCTCTCTACATCCCTGTCCTGCTGTTAAACACTATCTCCTCACACAGAGGCTGGAACCATGCATGACTCAGTCACAGGCTCAGGTCAAAGCTTCACTGCTGCAGACAGAGTTTGATACAAAGAAAATCAGTCCAAGGTATAAAAAGAGAAACAGGGTCAAACAATGAAGTCCAGTGATCTACACACTGGGACACACTAGTGAGGGTAATATACACACTAAATACACACAGGCAGGAAGTGAAGATGTCAGAAACAAGAAGAGAACAGAATTACAAACTAGAACAGGAAGTGAAAACATGAAACTGCTGTAAAACACACTCACACACTCAGTGCAGTTTTCTCCAGAGGTCTGTCTGCATCAGGAAGATCTTTTATTTAATATTCTCAGAGCGATGCTGCTTCAGTGTATACAACCTCATTCATCATAAGACGGATGAGTGTCTGCAGCAGTCATGTTTAATATGAGGTGACACTGTGAGAGCGAACTGTCAAAGAGTTTACACTTTTCCATCGGACTCATTCATTTCTGTAAGACACACAAACAAACTGAGCCTGTGTAAAAAAAGTGTATTTGCAGTAAACACTCCCAACAGGAAAGAACAACCAGGATTGGTTACTATTTAGTTAAGTTTAGTGTTGTGTTGCTGAAGATAAGGCGCTCCACGTGGATTCATGTGTTAACAATTTAAATTGAGACTAGCTGGTAAACATGCGGAGGCCTCCTGTTACTCTAGAGTCTTAATTTAAACTGATGGTAAGTTGAAACACAATTAGAAAACAGAGAAACATTGAGAATGGAAGATACTTTTGATTGCTGACTGTGCAGACTGTGACTGTGGACACACACACACACACACACACACACACACACACACACACACACACACACACACCTACAGTACTGTACGGTTGATATATAAATAGCTGTATATTCACATGGTAAAGACACAAGCTTTATCGAGAACTGTGTGTTCCAGCAGTGAGAAATACATCTCAGCCAATGGACTGGGGAAGATAACATTTGAGTGTATAGTGTATTAATATGAATAAGGCAGTGGTGAGTTTTTATGAAGGACATCTCATCCAATCAAAATGCGGGGATAGGAACCGATGTTGTATAAAACAGTTGATGATTTAGGACGAGATTAAATAACTTGAACATTATGGTGATGTTAGTATGTGTCTGAAGTAGAAGACAAACAGGAAAGACACGCAGCTGCAGAATAACCCAGGGAAGAAGAGTCATCATCACTTGTTCGTTAAAATCTCATTTATTCATCCCTGATATACAAAACAATGTTTCATTTTTCTGTGTGAAAAATAGCTCTGGATTTTGTTCAGCTCTGTCTGGTTTGGCCCTCGGGGTTTGCCGTAGTGGAGGCCTCCAGTATGCACAATGTACAGTCCCTATATAAGAGCCCTCAGGAGCAGATAACCCTCAACAGCTGATGTGAGGATCAGGTCTTATCAAAATCCCTCAGACTGAAGCAGAGAGCAGAGGGGAGCATGATAAAGCTGAGTCGCCATCAGTTCTTAAGTGGTTCTTGTACGAGAGCGCCAGCTACAGTCCATGCAACAGATTCACCAGACAGTGAAGGTTTCCCAAAAGCCAAACTGAGGAGACAAAGCCATTTTTCCAAATGAAACTTAGCACCTAAAGGAGGAAACAGTGTCTTTAATATTTTAATGCTGATTAGTGAGATTCTGACAGCTTTTACTGAGGATTCTGGGAAACCTTCCCTTGGAAGCAAGCACGCTTAATCACACTGGAGCTCCAGTGTGAGCGTCAGTTCGTCTTGTATACTGTACATACATCTTTTTACACTTTTCAGGTTTCTTTATAAAAATAAGGTTATCTTGCATTCATGTCATCAATCAAAACTGGGTTACAAAGTGAGATGAACAGCCGTTATTGCACAATTTGATTACCAACAAATCAACCATTTATAAAAAGCATGAAAAACAACAATTACTACGTATGATTAATACAGACTAATAAATATATATATCTGCCTCAGTCTACATCTGTCTGGGAGCTAATGAAATGAACGACTCTGAAATGTCCGTGCAGGGAGGGGAAGGCAGAACAATGAAAAATCGATGAGAAGCACAAACAAATGAACAGAACCAAATCAGACGAGTGGATCTCCGTCAGGGATGGGTGGGAGGGCAAGAGGTGCGTGAGACAATGACAACAGGTTGCCATGGTGACGACTGCACACCGTGCGGACACGTCGGCCACCCTGCTTCCACATTCGTACGGATGTGTGTGAAAAGTGCCTCGTCTACACGCACACGACTAGAAAACGCTTCATGCCGATGTCTTATTCCTGCTGCTAAAGAAGAGGAGCGGATGCAGGCACTTGTGAAATGAACACGTTGCTAAAGGACCACACGTTCAACATTCAACCTCCCCTCGTGGCACAATTACATTTCAATTTTGCTTTTCACATCAGACAGCCATTGTGAGCCTTCACCCTGTTAGTGTTATTTGCACTTGAGTGTCTTGGCGGAAATGTTTCAGACAGCACGTCAAAAGAAAAAAAACAAAAAAACAAAAACAACATAAAGGACAGCATAAAAATTATAAACATTAAAAATCATCAAATGTGAAAAAGATTACAACAAACATCATATAACAAGCCCCGGAATCTCTTTCAAAAAAGAGAAGAGTCAACAATTTCCGATTGGTTAAGACATTAAATTATGTTTTTATATTACAGGAATGATGTTAAATATATTAATCTGTAAGTATCACTTCACTAACCCACAGACCCCCCAACCCCAGTTTAATTCAGACAACAGATAAAGCTGATTGGATGAAGGGGAAGATGCCGATCAAAGGGAAATAATCAGATGCTGTAGGTATAAAATAAAAACAGTGTAAAGATACATAAGACACAAGACGGCAGACGTAAGACAACATCTCGTCTGTCAAGCTTGTGTTTTTGGTACATTTTGATCATCATGATCTGTTCATGCAAAGCCATGCTTATCCTACTGTGTCTATTTGAATTTCACTGGCATGAAGCACGACAGGACAAAGGTAAAGATCCACGCGATGCCTCGTGTGCTGAAAACGACCATGAAGCTGGCCATGAGTGAGGTTTGAAGGCAGCCGAACAGTAGCTCAATCTGAGGGACGTACAGAGGGCATCTCTGCCTGGTCCACAAAAGAAACGCTAAATAAAGAAATACAAAGAAAATGGGAGTGTTTTAAAAGAACATATAGTATGTGGGGTCAGTGGATGGAGGGCAGGGAAAACAAATCAATGTGTTTCTGTCGATGAGCGCGCTGACGAGCATCAAGCATTACAGCGGACATGAATTTTTAAATACACGGTACTTATACGCCATCTGTCATGTCCGTATACTTGCTGAATCAGAAACCATGCTGCCCTCTGAACATTAATAGCTGGTGTTCCTGGTATAAACCGTCATCCACACCGGGCTAGTAGCTGGAGCGTGCTATACCTTTCTGTAGAAATGGTTAACTGGGCGCGTTCCAAATGGTTAAACTTCATTTCGGGGAGTTATTGGTCAGTTATAGTTTTTCTTTAGTGTTCTTGCATCGGTTAATGTAACTGGATCATGCCTCAGTTCACTGTGACTACCGGTCAGTATTAATCAAGCTGACTCCGCTTCCCTGGCGTCTACCTCTGCCCTAGACCGTTACATCATATTGCTGCTGGTGGGGAAGGGGGCGTCTATCGTCGGGGGCGCTAACGCGGCGATCAAAGACAGATTGATGAGTGGGCCCAGAGTGGCTGGTTAGGCAATGATGTCTTCATTCTTTAAGCCATCCATTTGCTCCCTTCCCTCCCTCCCTCCCTCGCTTCCTGCCCTCTCCGTCCTCCCCCAACCTTCTCTGGAACGGTTATTAAGAGCTATATATAGATAAGCAGAAAACCTCCCCTCTCCGAGAGCATCGCCACAGTAACGTTTGTGTGCGCTTCTATGCGTCTTTTGTGAAACAAGGCTGTAGCTGCAGCATCAGAGCAGCGTGTGCATTATGAAAAAGGTCGCAGGTCCCTCGGCCGCTGCCAACAGGCATATCTGCTTGCATAGAATGAACAGTCGGACCGTTCACACTCTTACTGAAGACATGAGAAGTTCAGGGAAAATAGATAAAAATGGAAAATACAGAGAACTATGGCATCTGTCCCATTGGACACCGGTCCAATGCTTTACAGTGGGTCAAACTTCAGTGTGATTTACAAAGACATCAAAGCCAGATCCCCTGATCAGTCAAAATTAAATTATTCAAGCCGATTGAAATGTGTCCTAAAGGCAAAAACAAATTCATATCAGAAATAGTTGTTTGCTACCTTCGTCATGAACGCTTACATCATTTACAAGTCACACACTCGCACTTACAGTACACACACACACACACACACACACACATTTTTCTTCCTCGTCATCTTTGCTGAATTTCTCGGCTCAAGTGGAAGACTCATTCTGAGGATCGCTCTTTCAGATCCAACATTTGATCTGAACTCTTAAGATACACAAGCTAATAAACAATAATCCCTTTTTTTTTTTTTTTTATAGCTTTCAGCCCAAACCCAGTCCCTTGTTGGATTCGACCAACACACACACACACCCCACCACGCCTTCCTAATCCAAATTCTCTCTGCTGTAGGTTCCCAAGAGGAGAATGGATTCAGGGCTGAGGCTGAGTTGTGTTCCACCCTCCTGTGTAGCGTCTGGCTTGGTCAGTGCAAGGCTCTAGAAGAAAATGGGTGGTTCATGAAGGTGGGGAGAGGGAGGAGGAGACGAGGAGTTGAGGAGGCTGGTGCAGAAGTCGAACTCTTTCCAGAATTAAATATTGATCCTAAGCCCTGAGGATTTTTTTTGCATGTTTGTGGCTTTGGGGGATTAAAAGACCTTAATGCCTCACTCCTCCTGCTCTTCCTCCACCTACTCTTCT